AAAAAATGCATGTAAATGTTCACCATGCCTTCCATTCCTGCAACTATCAGTATTATATTCTGGATAATTAGATAATTAGAGGGGAACATAGTGGCTCATGATGAAATTGGAAAGACATACATACTGCTCTGAATCAGTTCCAAAGCTAAATTAATTGAAGCATGCTACTAAATTTTGATTCACATCCAATGAAGCACAGTATTAACAAGACCTATTAATATAATAAAATCTTACCTTGTATCCCTGAGTATGACTTTAACACTTGTCACTCAAATAACGAGAATTAGTCAAATTTAAATTTTCGATTTAATTTAACTTCGTACGACGACTTGTTTGATTCACATACAATATTATATTATATTCTGTATAATTAGATGAGTAGAGGTGAACATATAGTGACTCATACTGAGTTTGTAAAGACTAATTTAATTGCTTTTAATCAATTTAAATTGAAAAGCTCAATAAATTGAAGCGTGCTACTGAATTTTGATTCACTTCCAATGAAGCACAGCATTTCAATCTTAGAAAAATTAGACAGGAATACTAGGCAATCATTGCTCATTGAATATATAGGAATAAAATTTCTTGTGCAATGATAAATGACTTATATTTACAGGTGAGACGCGATCACGACCACCGTCGGTAGAAAAACGGTCTTACGTGAGGTCGGGGACTATTCTCTGGTCTTGTGTCGATACCTGGAGGTCGTGGTCGTGGTGGTATGGTTTCGGGAATACTTTGGGTTGTCCCATCAGTTCCTGTGGGCCAGTCCTCAGTTCAAGCTAGTCTACCAGGGGCACAGTACTCTTACCAATTCCTTCCTCAGCAGCAGACTCATCATGAGCAGCAGCAAAAAAACCAAGCTACTTCAGAGTATCAGGGAGAAAAGGTGTCCAAGGAAGAAACTGAAAAGCTGCATGCATCTGCCATTGCACAGCAGAAAGAACTTGAGGCTCAGCTGGCTGCCTTGATTAGTGGAGGTGGTAGCAAGCAGAGCTCATATTCATCATCAAAAAGGTGTCCAAGGAAGAAACTGAAAAGCTGCATGCATCTGCCATTGCACAGCAGAAAGAACTTGAGGCTCAGCTGGCTGCCTTGATTAGTGGAGGTGGTAGCAAGCAGAGCTCATATTCATCATCATCATCATCATCAGCATCATCATCATCAGCAGCAGCAGCAACCAACATCAGTCCAGCATCATATTCAGTTCCTGCAGCTCCTGCCATCAGGCCTGTAGCTCAATATATTCTTCCAGCACCGGCTGTAGCAGTGCAGCAAACCTACACACCAGTCTTGTCAGGGCATAGCCAACAGCAAGTAGTCCAAACCAGCTACACTGGTCCAATTGTGTCCAAGGAGGAAACTGAGGCCCTGCATGCTGAAGCCATTGCAGCTCAAAAGCAAATCATTGCTGCTCAGGAAGCCATCAATAATGCTGGTCCAGCCAAAGCCAGTGACGCTAAATCCACCTCTTACTCATCAGGTGGCTATAACACCATTGCTGTGGCACAAGGCAATAGTTATCAAACATCTGTCCCAGTCCACCATCAGGTGAGCATTTTTAGCATCATGTCCAATTTCAAAACCAAATCAAAATAAGTACTGTGCTTATTAGATAATTTCCTGTTATCTCAATACCCATTTTTCTTTGTCTTGTGAATTCAGTATTTGTTAGGTTAGGTTAGGTCAGGTTATGTTCATTGAAAGATATTTGTAACTAACATAACCTGACCTAACCTAACTTTACCTAACCACCTCCCAAAATCAGTTTCAGCAGAATGCGGAAAAATGAAATTCACAGTTTCTGGTAGGTGAATAGAAAGTAGGTACTGAGATAACAGGAAAGTACTGACTTGAGTACCAGCACAGATGCTCAAAAAAGATGCACACTAGCAGGGGCTTTCACATGAAAATTTTGATAGATCCTATCCCCCATTAAGACATGCACCCATTTTATAAACTCTAAAAACACAATATCTCAAAAATATGAACACCCAAATTTGAATTTGGACATGGATTTGACACCATTTCTATTCTTTCCATTAAGATATGTTTTTCTGTTGAACTTGGTCAAAAATGTTCCATGTGAATCAAGTAACATGTGCACCTGAACACTTCTAAAATGTTTTCAAAAGTGTAAGCCCACCTGTAATACGCATCCCCTTTTTCCTGTCAAATTTAAGAAAAAAGGTGTGCCTATAGTACTCAAGTAAATACAAGTAAACTCAGTGACAAACTCTGTTTTTTATGTTTTCTCAAGGGGAGGCTCAAGTAAGAGGCTTCTCATTATTTTACTCCATTTGAAAGTCCTGTATGTCAGCATCCCATTTCAGAAAATGTGACTAACCAAATTTTAAAGCTGAAATTCCTGCCAAGGTTGGTGCAACAGACTTGAAAACAGTTTATTTCTCAGGTGGTGCAAGTGTCTGCTCCCATCAGACCGGCATTTGCTATACAGCCAGCAACACAGCCACCAGCAGATTACCACTTGAAAGCCAGTGAGCATTCTGGTGCGACATCTACTTACACTGGAGTTAAGGTGAGCAAAGAGGAGACAGAAAAGCTGCATGCAGATGCCATCAAGAAACAGCAGGAGATCATTGCCCAACAACAAAGGCTAATTGCTCAGGGAGCAGCAGCAGCAGGTCAGCAGCAGACAAGTCATTATCAGTCCCAGCAAAGTGTTGGAGGAGGGGCTCAGCAAGGGTTCCAGCATGGAACTCAAAGTTTCTCAGCACAGGTGTCTGAACAGAGTCCTGGTGGTTACTTGGTTGCTTACACACTTCCTGCTGCTGGCATTCAACAGGTATAAAAGTCATTCTCATCATACAATGTTGCCTCACCTAACAAAAAAAATTGGTTCCAGCACTGTGTTTTCTATATAGGCAGATTTTTTGTTAGGTGTGCCAAGCTTTCCCCAACAGATTAAATTAAAGCCCTACTAGTTGGTTTTTGAAGAACATTTTCATGGGAAAATTTGCAAATTTTGATTACGTGAGAGAGAAAATTTCAGTTCCTAATGTACGCAGTGTGTCATTGTAAAGCTCATCAAAATGTTCCCACTTTTCTCTTTCAAATTGGAAACCATGTACCTTATGCACATGAGACATCTTTAATGACAACTGCAGTAACCAATGCAGGTTGACAAATTTGCATAATTGTCACTTCTGCATCAATTACAATGCGTTGGTGGTACTCACACATTTCCAACTAGTGCAAAATTTGATTACTGTATTCATAATCCAATGCAATTTGGACCTTGATAACTTGAACCTCCCTGAGTAAAGAAATTTTTAAAGTCCCCATCTGAATTCCCTTTGAAACAATGCATTATAAACCTCTCAAACTGGAAGGCTTTTCCTCTAAAACCTCCATAACTTAAATTGTCTTAGGCCTTCTGGCTATTTTCTTGATACAGGAAAGAGAAAAGCAATAAAATGTAACATTGATGCATTTCAAAAGGAAGTGAAAGACTAATTTGGCAAATAATGGAACCTTGAGTCCAAGTTAAGCATCCTGTCAACTCATTCCAGAAGTAATTTAAGGCTAGGAATATCATAACTACAATTCCTTGAAATTTTATCTTTCCTATGCAACCAAATGCTTGTTTCCTCAAAATGGAAACCTCCATAACTCATTTTTTTCCTAGTCCTTAATTGAAATTTGTCTTTTTGAGATTTGATTCTAAACAAACATTTACAAAATTAATTGAAACAAAATTGGACTTTTCATCCATACGCATAAAAAAGTTGAACCACAAAAAAGTTTCAACAAGTTCAAGGCCTGAAATAGTGATTTTGTACTTTTTGTTGATGAAAATCATGCCTGCAATTGCAGGTCCATCAGACATTTTTTAAGTAAGACACAGTTCCTTAGGCAATTTTTTTTAATTTCCTTGGGGTTTTTCAACTGAGGAACCACTATATGCTACATTCACTGTATAAAACAATGGATAATCATGCATGTTACATATATTGAATATACTGTATATATAGGGATCAGCCCAAGTTCAACAAACAGGAAGCTTGGGTTACTCTGCTAGCCAGCAGGCTGCCTCTTCCTCCAGCAACCAGCAACATGTTGCTTCTAGCAGCAGCCTTGGGTCTTCAAGCACTCATCAGCAGTCAGGTTATGCTGTCCAGGTGTCACAGGAAGGACCAGGAGTAGCTGTTAATTACGCCCTACCAAGTGCTTCAATTTCCCAACCTGCAGCATCTGGTGTAGTGACTGAATACAAGGGAGAGAAAGTTACTAAGGAGCAGACTGAACAACTGCATGCTGAGGCAATCAAGAGACAGCAAGAATTCACCCAGCAACTGACTTCAAGGGTGTCTCAAACTGTTTCCAATTATTCTCCAGAAGATTCCCAGGATCGCAAGGAGGAACAAGAGTTGCTTGATAGGCAAAACCAAGAAGTTCTGGAACAAATTGCTGTGAGTTGGCTTGATAGATTTATATATGCTTTATTTGCCACTTTTCAGCATCCACAAAGTGAAAAACATTTTGCCTCCACCCCCTCACACACATCTGTTCAAAAAGGAAGATAAAAACTAAAATATACATCACATTACATACAAATAATGTATGATTCTTTAAATTGGCACCTTTTTTGTTTAAAAATGCACAACATCTGGCAATCAGTGAAAAAAGTAAAGCAGTGTTCCCCAACTGGTCTGTGGACATGTGCAAGTTTGCAGAAGAGTTTTGCCAGTCTGCAGAAAATTTTCTTCAGCAAAATAAATTTTTCAAAAATAGTAATGAAGTCTGTTGTCTCTATCTGATTTTTTGGAAAGACAATGGCATTAGCTGGAATTATCTGATGGAAAATAAAAGTTGGATTTTCGCCTAAAACCACTTCAGAAAAAAATTTAACTGGTGAAATAAATTATTTTCAATTTTCTTTCTGAGAAAACTTTATTCAAGCCCACCTTTCTAATCTTTTGAAGACATTCCACTATTGCTGCTTCATTTCTTTTTAGCTCAATTTTTGCAAAACGCAGAATCTTTAAATACCTCATGTGAAGTCTTTCAAACAATATTTTTTCAAGTCTGCAGAAAATTTATGAAACTTTGCCAGGGCAGAAAATTGTTTTTTGAAATTTGCCAGTCTGCAAAAACCTGTATGAAACTTTGCTGGTCCTTGGGCCAAACAGGCTGGTAACACTGATATTAAGCACAATGAATTCAGCATATTCCCATATAATGATAATAAATGGAGTGAACATTTTGGAATTAATTTTTGAGGATAAATCATGTATAGCAGTGTGTTTTTTTTTTTTACATGTGAACACACCATTATCAGTGCTGAATGCTGAAAATCATATCCTAAACTGTGTATTTTTCAATAAATATAGCTTGCAAAGGCCCAGGGTCAAGAAGCAGAAGCTCAGGGGAAGCTTGAAGTGTCTTCAGGCAGTGCATCCTTGTCTGCATCAGGAGGCTCTCAGAGTTATCAGACTTCATCAAGCAGCATAGCCTCTTCTGCAGGAGCCTCTCAGGGATATCAGAATTCAGTCTCCAGCTCACTTTCAGCTTACCAACCACCTGCACTCACTCTTAGAACTGTGAGTTGAACAAGAATATTGTGTTTCGGCTATTTCTGGTAGATATTTGATGGTGGAAGTTTTACTATTGTGCAATGAACATTTAAGACCATGTCATCTAACTTATTACTGCTCATGCAATGTACTTCAAACCAATAATTTTTAGCATGCTTCAAATGCAACTCAAAAATGTATGAAATACAGTGAGGCCCCCAATATAAGTGGAAATAAATATGGTGCTTGGATCTTGTCCCTATATATTGAAACATCCACAGGTTGAATCATGTTTTCCCATTGACTTCAGGAGAAGCATATTTAATTGGTTCTCCAGCTCATCAAAAATGAGGAATAGATCTCTTAAAATTGAATAAAATGTTTTTCTCTGCTTGGAGATGCAGAACATGACTGTGCAGAAGAAAAGTATAAAACCATGCCAAATCTAATCATTGGAAATCAAAATGACCCCACAAAGCTAAGAAGAAGTACTATTGTGTTGTTTTGCTGAACACATATGATGGAGAATTTGCCAAAAAAAGAAGCACAAAATTTACCTGTTTTGATTATGAATATGAGTAAATAAAATAAAATAATTTTCAATATTTTATTGAATGTAATGCCTCAATTTCTTCGAGATATCCAAACTTTTAAAAATAAGAATTTTTCTAGAAATTTCAGAAAAGTGTAAGTATGTTTTAAAATTTTCTGGATGTTGTTGGAGTAGATTTTACAAATGTCTACCACAAGATAACTGCCATAAAAATAACAGATACAATAAAAATTGCATGCATACATTTTCTCTGTGCAAGAAATATTTGTGGTCCCATTGGGTTTTTCCCCATGTTATAGGAGTTCTCTACAATAAAATTCTCTCCACAACAATTTATTTTTCTTCTCACTTGAGTTTTGTTGAATGAGAGAGAGAGAGAGTCCACCTTTACTGAAATAGGAGTCGGATTCATCTTTCATTTTACTTTATGTCAAGTGTTTACTTTGAACATGTTTCTATGTTTGTGTGCATTTCCACTCAGTCCAAACATTGTTGGGCAATTTGTGACCTTCAAACAAAGTCGTCGTTGTTCTCGTCGTTGTCGTCTTTATGTGTCCGGGGAATCACTCGTTCCTTCTTTGTCTTCGGGAAGTACGTCTACGGTAGTCATTCGTCGTCCTCTAGTAGAGTAGAATGTTTGCTTTCATCAATGAACAACAACAAGGAGGATCAGCAGCAGTAACTCAGCAACAAGCCTTCTCATCCCAAAGCTCCCAACCTCAGCAGCAGTACTCTTTCAGGACAATAAGTCAGCAGCAATTCCAGCCAGGACAAGTTCAAGCTATGCTTGGGGAGATCTTACCCAATGGAGCAGGCATCCGGATTATTGGGCCTGTTGTGACCAATTATCTTCCCTCTGGGTAAGATTGAAATTACAATCATCACAATGAATGAAATTTGAAGCATTGGTGCCTCAAACAGTTAACCCTGATGAGTTTAATACTGTGAGGCCTTCATAGCAGCAAACATGTTACACAGAATACAACTTGCATTTGCCCACCATTTTGCCCTGATACAAACTTGAGTTGAAAATGGAACCTATTAGCCAAGTAAGAACTGAGAATTGAACATGAGAAGTGAAACAAATGGCAGGTCCTCTCTCATTTTTTACACTGCATTGAGAATATCAAATTATTATTGAAGTTAGCTGTACTGTATTAGTATAGGAATTACTTTTTTCTTGCAATCCAAAAAGCATGCTTTAATGTTTCATGTGAATTTGGGAGTTGGGTTCAGAAAATTTGTTTCTGTACAGTGAAAAATAGACAAATTTTGATAAATGAGGTTTCCACTTATATGTGGGATCTCTTTGAAGTAAGCAAAGAGTTTTAAAGATTTTAGGGGGATTCTGTTTTTGTTGCATAGCACAAAATCCATAGTTCCAAATGGGGCCCACATGGATGAATGGGTTCAATGATTTCCCATGCCTTACCATGGGAAATTGTGTCAAATAAGAACAAAAATGCATTGAACAATGATTACTGTTGGAACCAATTTTGTTTGTTGCTTGAGGTCCCATTGCATCAGGCTCTTACTCTGGGTGATTTTTTATATGATACACAAGTGTCATTGGCAAGATTAGCATTTGACCCAAGTCAAATTGTCTGCAGCCAACTTTCATTTGGCTGTAGATTTAGATCCAGTTGGAATCTTTTGTTGTTGTTTTTGCATGAATGCTCATATATTGTTCATTATGATCTTTTTTCTTCCAAGGCATACATAATTGAGACCCCAAAATGTGGATGTAAATGGTGCATCAAGAGTGTTCTGATGTTGGAATGTCCATAAGTCAAGTCTCATTTTCCCTTAGACTTCAATGCTAATGTATTTAATTGGTTCTCATTTTTTTCGAAAATTATAGATAATTCCTCAAAAAATATTGATAAAAATGATTTTCCTAAACTTCAAGTTGTAGAAAACAATATTGAAAACCAACTGCAGAGAATCTGATCTCTTGGTATCAAAAGCAGACCAAAAAGCAAAGAAAATTAATAGGCATTGCTTATATGCATCACAGATTATGGCAAATAACTCTGAAAAATTAAGCACAAAATCAGCTTTCTTTTGATTATGAATTACAGCATACTCATTATGAAATTATTTTTTTATTTTTTAAATAGAAATAGCTTGATTTCTTCAAAAGATATCAAAATTTAAAAATATATTGTCCCAATTTTTTGAGAACATTTCAGGAAAGTGTCCCTATATATCAAGTGTCCCCAATAAGTCAAATTGTCTGTATGTCAGGGTGTCCACATCTCAGGGTCTCACTGTTTCAAGTACATATTCAAATATGATGCTACCTCAGGAATGTCTATTAAGGAATGCCTTGGAGAAACAGAGAAATCAAGACATTGACCCATAGGACAATCATTGAATTTTGCTAATTTCTTTTTTGCTTTCCCAACATCAGCCTTGCTCCAGCATTCGCAAGACAAGGTGTGGCTCGTGCTGAATCAGCAGAAAGCGAGTCAAACTCAGCTGAAAACGATGATGATGCGTCATCTGAGGCTGCTGAACTCGCTCAACAAGACGCAGAAGTCCAGCGTCAAACCCAGGAAGCTGTTGAAGATGGTCTGAGAGCAGCTGCTGGTGAAGCCGCATCTTTCGAAGATACTCGAGTCAGGGCATATGCTCCACATCAACATCAATACTGATGATATTCGACAATTGATAAATCCTTCGTCGAGGGATTATTGTGAGCAACAACAATGATGCAACGAGGAAACCCATGACTGCCAGCACACGCGAGAGAAAGTCTATTCGCATATAGGGCTTTTTCTATATATATTTGGTTGCATGCTTCAGTGACCTTATATGAATAGCAACTTTGATATATTATCGGCACAAGTCTATATTTTTTTTCACCACGAGACCTAAATTTCAAGGGTTTTAACCACACACACAAAAAAAAACGCGCGTTCGTGAGAGTCTTTCCCTTTTTTTGTTTTTTTTACTCTGTACTGATCGGAATTATGTATATATATTTTTTTTCACGACCACTTGTTTGCATGGACTGAGAATACAAAAGCAAGGATTCTTGGTTGAGTCCTTGGTCTTCATCACTATATATGCGAATCTTGGTGCATTTAAAAATGGTTTATGGGTTCTCCCCAGCAGTTACCTTTTTAGCTCTTGATTGAATAAATAATACAAAAGCAAGGATTCTTGGTTGAGTCCTTGGTCTTCATCACTATATATGCGAATCTTGGTGCATTTAAAAATGGTTTATGGGTTCTCCCCAGCAGTTACCTTTTTAGCTCTTGATTGAATAAATGGAATTCAATTTTTTGTTTATATAATCAGTGAGTGGAATGAAGTGAAGGTTGAGTCCCATAAGTGGATTGGGGTTTCACCTTGAGGTTGAATATATTGCATTAGGTTTGGGTACAATTCTACTTCATTGTGGCATGGAATATGGTTCAATATACTGTAGTTCCATGAGTAATGTAAGCTATGCAGGACCTTCATTGACCCATATTTATAACCCTCTTGCAACCTCTAAAATTGAATTCAAGAAGTTCTTTAAATGTTGTGGCGGAATAATTTGGTACGTTAAAGTACCATAAATCTATGCTGGATTAATCGAGACCTTTCTCAGGTTTTCCATAGCATCAACTCGCCGCCATTTCCTTGGGAAGCTCCAGTTCAGTACTGGAAGAGAGTCCATCGAGTTTAGTCAATTTTGATTGTGTGTTTTATCTTTGTTGGTGATTGTGATTTAGGGTTTAACGAAATACATTTATCTTATTCTTTGGGATCTTGACAACAAGATCCCCAGGTGCACCCCACACATGATTACAGTGTTATTTTATTTTGAATTTCTTGTCCTTTTGTGCCGATTCCGGCACAAATGTGTACAAGGCAAAGAAACTGTCAATGAACTGCTCCTAAATTGTGATACAGGTGTACTCTCCATAAACTAGCATGATTTGCTCTGCTGACTAACAAATTTTATGTTTGGTCCCATTTAGGGTACTTTCCCAATTTTGTTGGGGGTTCTCTATAACAAATTTTTTTCTAGTCCATTGAGTTTGATTGTAGAGAAAGACTACCTGTAGTAACATATAAGTGTATTTCTCAGTTCTAGAAAACCCTGTCTTTTTCCTTTCAGCTTCATTAAAGGATTAACCAAGAATAATTAATTTTCAGTAATCTTCAAGGGAATCTTTAAAAGGTTCCCCTACACTAAACTGCATAAGAATACAGTATGCTGGCCCTGTTATTTGGGACTGGCTCTGCATTAATTGAGGTTTTTTTAAAAAAGTAGAAAAACTCTGGCAAAATGAGAACACTCTTGATTCCCCTCCCCAAAATGTCACTCTTCCTTTAATGCCATCATTACTTCTTTGACTTTGATTTTCTTGGCCAATCCCAGGTCTCTAAAATTTTCTGATCTATCACATTCATTACTGGATGAAGTAGGTCACATCAAAGGAATAAAAAAGCATTATATTCACAAATTTATCATCAGTCTGCTTTTATAGCTATCTTTCAGAACAGTTTTGTGTAGAAGTGAGCTTCCTGATGAGAGGCTTTGGTAGTACCTGTAATTATCTTGACTGTTTATATATTTCATTAGCAATTTACTGTTATGACCAATTTCAAAATGCAATTTGATTTTTACTTAGGCATTCCTTCAAGAATTCCTGGCCATTATCCCAGGCTGATTATGTGTTTGATTCCACTAACTCATTTGATACACAGCTTCTCATAAGCTAGAGACATTTTGTTTTGCAGGACCAATTTTTTACAGCTGCAATTTTGATTTACTTGGTGAATGTGAACATGGAAGAATCAATCATGCATTTTTTTCTATAGGTCATTCTGTATTTCTAGACTTTAGAATTCATCTGGAGAAAAAGACAAGTGCCCCACTGCATGGTTTTCCTCCCAATTTTTAAACAGGCTTGGCATGTGAACCTTTTTTTTTTTGACCATTGCATGTATTGAAAAAGCTATAATGCTGCTTTCCTATAGCAAACCTACTCAAAAATTTTGTTGCGTTGGATTTTTACTATACACATACAGTGGTCCTCATTCCCAAGAAACAACCTGCCTTAAAAACCCAAAGAAATGAAAAATAACTTGCCTAAAAAATTGCTATGTCTTGCCTAGCAAACATTTGGACCTGCACTTAGCATGGATTTTAATCCACAAGAATTTTAAAATTGCCATTTCATACATTGAATTTGTTTACATTTTTCATTGGTTGAACTTTTTTATTTTCATGGATTCAAATTCAAAGTTTGTGGAAAATGAAATGGTAATTTTCTTTGCATATGAGTTGAAATGATAAGATTTTCACTACTTTGAAAGGCGTGGAGTAGCAGGAAGGAAACATTGTACTAGATGCACAAGTGACATCTGTGCATTTATAGCACACTAAATTTATTACTGCACTTATTATAGATGTCTCATGTGCATGGAGTACATGATGGCCATGGTTTAAGTTTGAAAAATATGTGGGTACATTAATTTTGAAGAACTTTAGAATCTATTACAGCAGACTTCAGGGACTTCAATCTTCATTTGTATGAAATTTCAAGCAATTTTCAAAAAATTTTATGGTTAATTGTTTTCTTCAAGAACCAATCAACTGTTTCATTTCCATTCAAGCAGAGGGATCACATGACCTGCATCACAAGCACTTTGCCTATAGCAAATGTGGTGCTGTGTAACATAGTCTGTTTGCTAGGTGAGGCACCAGCACTCTCATATTGAACACATCTTCATGAAAAAAGCAAAATTAACAATGATTCTTGTTATGAATGTATTGCTCTTCTGAAAAATGAGCATTTGAACAAATTTCCTCCATTTAGAGTGCACAGGAAAAAATATATACATCAGAAAAAATATACAGTGAGAGCCCAAGATGTGGACATAATTGGTGCATCAAGAGTGTATGGTCTGTTCAGCAAAAATCCCTTACTTGGGAGGTCTGTTATAGGCAGGGGGCCACTGTATATGCACCCTGTGACTTATTCTGACTGTTCCCAACTCTGACAAACAATCTGAAAGGGATTGATTTTCAGGACAGGCACAGTTTCATTTCCAATAAGGTCAAAGAGCAGCTTAATCAACAAATGGAACTCAATTGTTGGCACTGTTTTGATCCTTGGATCTATCCCATGAAAAAATGCTTTGTAATATTGATAGAGAGTATGTTGAACAGCACTGAAGTGTGGCCAAATTATGGGGTTTCGGTGAAAATAATTTTTTTATTAATTGTTGAAACTCTGCTGGAACTATTTTAAAAAGTATCAGATCTTATGAACCAACCCTTGTGCGCATGTATACTGTATATGGCTGAGTCATCCTCATGATGGTGATTAAATAGGGACATCTATATAGAGTTAGTGTCAGAGTGAATCCTTTCTTTGTCAGCTTTACAGGTACAGTATAACATTTCCAAGATTTGTTAAACTTTCCACATCCCTTCATTATTGGATATATACAAGGGCTCAAACAAAAGTTCTCAGGATAGAAATTGAAACCCAACATATAGTTGAGCAGAAAAACTTCTAGGCACAGGAAAAAATTAAGCCTTCTTGAACATATTTTTGATTTTTTTTTTTCAAAAGTTACCCTGGCAGATTTTTGTTCTTCACTCAAAAGATAAGGCACCCATTTCGCAGATTTTTTGGTGCAGCCTAGCTTCTCCTTCAGAATTCTTTAGATTGACAGGGCATGAATTCCAAGGGTTGTACCTGGTCTTATAATCCTAATTCAGCCATTTTTATTGACAGCTGCCACATTCTCATCCCAAATGGCAGCTGTTGATGAAAAGGGCTGAATTAATAATCCATCAATGGTGGCAACCCTTGGACATAATACTGTGTGTCAATTTCAAGAATTCTGAAGAGTAAACTGGGGTACAACAAAATCTGTGAGATGGGCACCTTATCTTTTGAGCAAATAAAAAGAAAGCTGCTTGGGTGACTATTGCAATATTTTTTCTGAAAAATACTGCACAGCAGTAAAATCTTGTTATAACCAACTCCTGATGGGAACCAAAACATTTTTTATACCATAACAACAAATTCATTGTATTGAGATTCATGGGTTTCAATGCATTTTAAACAAAATTTCACAGGAAATGGGCATTCTAAATACTTTGAAGTCCTTCCAAAATGGATAATTCAAGATCTATCATAATTCATAATTATTTTTGATGAAATGAAGAGAACCCTTTTGAAATAAATAGTAGTTTCCTTGCATTAAACCTGCCTTTGTAGTAAATTGATGCTTGTCATGAAAAAATGAATTGAAACAAAATGAAATGCCGTAGAAATACTGTACTTGCTTCTGAATCAACTTATTCACTCATAGCTATACCTGCTGTTTTGAATAGAGTGGCATCTTTCTAGCATATCATTTATTTGAACAAAAGGCATACATTCTAAGATGGAGCTGAGAAGTGAGAAATATGTCATGTTGTGTCCTTTTTTGGACCCAAATTGAGTTTTCTCTGCAGAAAGTTTCCTTCTTTGATGAAATATGAATGCTGCACCTTTTAACTTGTTTTCAAGCATTCTGATATTCATCAAATAATCCTAGCGGCCTATGCAGTGTACTATACCAGTGTTCTCAACCTTTTTGGTCCCACAGACCAGCAAATTTCAAAAAAAAATTCTGCAGACTGGCAAAGTTTCATGAAATTTTCTGAGGTCCAGCAAATTTTCATAAAATGTTCGCATGCCCAAAAAAGTGTTACTTGGAAGACAGCTTGAATGACAGGTATTTGAAAAGCTTCTGCTTTTTTGTCAAATTAATTCAGGATCCAATGAAGCAGCTATAGTGGAATGTCTTCAAAAGATTGAAAGGTGGGCATGAAGAAGGTTTTTCAGACTCAAAAATAAATGTATCAAATCAGGTAAAAATGTGTATTATCAGGAGAAAAGCCAAGATATATTTTTCATAAGATAATTTCAACTGCCATTGTCTTGCAAAAATTAAAAGTAAAGATACTGTACTATGTAATGTCCTTCATTGCTACTTGTAAAAAATGTGTTAGCCTGGAGAAATTTCCCATGGACCAGCAAAAAACTTCTGCAGACTGGTGCCTGTCC